CTGCTGTCCAAGGGTGTTGGGTGATCTGGTAAAAACACTGTCCCGGGGCGCCCAGCAGGTCTGGGAGATCCTGCTGTCCAAGGGTGTTGGGTGATCCAGTAAAAACACCGTCCCGGGGTGATCAGTGAGTCTGGGAGACCCTGCTGTCCAAGGGTGTTGGGTGGTCTGGTAAAAACACCGTCCTGGGGTGATCAGCAGGCCTGGGAGATCCTGCTGTCAAAGGGTGTTTGGTGGTCCAGCGAAAACATTGTCCTGGGGTGCCCAGCAGGCCTGGGAGACCCTGCTGTCCAAGAGTGTTTGGTGATCTGGTAAAAACACCGTCCCGGGGTGCCCGGCAGGCCTGGGAGACCCCGCTGTCCAAGGGTTCTGCAAAAAGCAGCCACTCTCGTCATGCCAATGTTACCCCACCTTGTTACGCCTTGTTTAGTGCATGCCTTGAGACAGGTTGCTGTCCGTGACCCTCAACTTCTCGCAGGCAGTGCTGGCGCTCGGGTGGGCTGCCTCGGCCCCGAGTAGGTGCCTGCGCGTTTCCACCGTGCCCGTGCGGAGCTGTGGGGATGCGCGGCGAGGGCGAGCCTTTGAGGGGTAGGTCGTTCCTCGGAAGAGGATAGAGGGGAGCCACTGGAAGTGCCCGTCTTGGGCAAACTTGGGTCTGAAATTTGCAATCATGTGATGTGGCGAGTGGCATTTCTGAAGGGGATGTGAGAGCTGGACTTTTTATTTGAAGCGGTGTCCTACCGAAGCTTTGGAAGTTAAACAGATCTGAGTTTGTGAGTATCCTTAATTAAAGCAAGATTTTTTAAATATTATTTTGGCTTAGCGCAGAAAACAGCCTGGTTTTTGTTTGATGCTCAGATTAAATCTTCTAGTGCTGCTTTTGTTTGATGGTGTGCCTTTATTCTCCTCCTTGAAATACATCTAGAGTCTTGACGCAGATTATTAATCTCTGATATAAATATGCATCCAGTCCTTGAGATACTAAAAATGCTAAATGGTTGGGCGTTTGGGTAACGACTCCGTGTGTTGTCTATGGCAGAGACTGGCGTTGTCCAAGTTCAAGTTGGATTTAAGGAAGTAGGTGGTTTAGTACAAGCAAGTTCTGCTAGACTGTGTTTTTAGGGGAGTATTTAATTAAGCCTCGAAGGCCTGTGAATTAAACGCTCCCGTGTCTTGTTTTATTTGCTTGCTCTTCTGTTTTGTAAAACAGAAACTACTACCTCATAGGGGATGGCTTGTGCTATGATACAAACTAGCAGAAACCAGGAAGTTTGCAGTTAAAGGTCTGGTTTTAACTCATGCTGCTCAGCTCTGTGGTTGGCGGTTGAAGATCCATACGTGATGTGATGCATGCGGTAGACAAACAAGGCTGAGGTGGAGCGCAGCCGGCGAGGGCTGCGTTAACTTTCTGTTTGTCTTGTCGCAGGCTTACGTGCCCGCCTCAGGAGCGATCTTGAGTTTTGATAGCTGCCGATTGTCATGTCAGCGTGAGCGTAGCCTTGTATTCCTTGGGAGTTACAATTGTAAGGGGAGACAGGGCTTTGAAACTGTTTGGAGGGCAGAGGGGTAGACTAAGGATATTCTGTTAGCTGGAGCAGAAGTAAAAGTTTTGGCCCAGGGCTCCTGTGTCTTAACCTTCACCAGAAAGATTTTTCTTGGCAAATGGAAATTGTGAGTGAAAGAATTGAGCGTAACTTTGTTCGTATATGCCCAGAAAATAACATTGACCTCTTTTTTCGTCATCCGTTAGTTTTTCTGCCACTTTAATAATGTTAAAATTGCCTCTGTGTTGTAGAGATCAAGTTATCGACTGATTTTTTTCAGGAGTGGTGTTTTCCTGGTGGCTTGGGCTGACTCTGGAGAGCCACCTTTGTGCAAATACACGCATATCAAGTGACTGGCAGACGAAAACACAGCTAGGAGAGAAACTTCAACGCAGAATGAAGTCGGAGCAGGTTCATCTTTGAAACGTCATCTGTGGGCAGATCGCTTTGTTTCTTATTGGTCCATTTTTAGCTGTTTGTCTAGGGAGGAGCAACTTTGCTGTCACTAGATATGTCAGGTTTTCCTTGTTCTGAACATATTTGTCCGTGTTACATAGTAGCAGTTGACCTTTGATAGTGTCTGTAACACCACGCGCTGCCCAGAACAGGGCAGGGACAAGTCGCTTTCTGTACCGTTTCTTGCTGTCTCCGAAAGCGAGGGTGTTCCCATCTTCTCCTGTGCAGTCGCTTGAAGGCTGCTGCTGGGTTCCCATTGCCGCAGTGGGAGCTAGATTAGCTCTTTTGGTCTCTGGGCGATAAGCAGACTCCTCATGGAGCTGAGCACTTTTAAACAGAAATGCAGAACGCTAAAACGTGGTCTGAGTGAACTTGCGGGTGTACGTAGCACCTGGAGGTGCTCCCGGTTTCCTTTCTGACGGATAAGATTTTTAAGCTGCTTCTTCCCTTTAGTTCTGCCACTGATTCACCGCAAAAAACAGTAATTTCTGGGTGGTATTAAAGATAAAATTGGCAATTGTGGTTTTTGCAGTGACTTTCTTCTATTGTTATGGTCTGGAGAGAAAAGATCAAGTTTCGAAAGTAACGCTGGCGGCGTGCCAGCCTTCTGAGGCTCGCGTTCTAGGTTTCAGTTAGTGTGAAGCGTTATCGGCTGCTCCGCAGGTATTAAGGTGTTCAGAAATGGGTCTGGTAATACACAGGAGTGTGGCCTGTCTACCAAGGGGGGAAGCTGGGGATCCTCTGCGCAGCTGGAAGTTAAGTTCGGAGCTGTAAGCCAGGGTGTGCAGAGCTGTCACTGTGTTGTAAGTATGGCCGAGCCTGCGTCTCGGGAGTGGAAATCCTGCCATGCCGCCGCTCCCGGGAGCGCGGTAGTGCTTCTCCGGACAAGCCAATTACACGTTTCCTTTTTGCTCGTAGAAGGGAGTAAGGGCAGGAGCTGTTCCTGTGTTCTGCATGGATATTCGACTAGTGCAAATGTGATTAAATGCGATTAAAGCTGGAAATGGTGAAAGCTGCTGCGGAGCCCCTGAACAAAATACCTCAGTCTAAGCAGTTACTGCGCACAGGTCTTCCGCGTTCAGCAAAGTCAGTTATGTGTGTGTTTTTTTTTTTTTTCTTTAAAGAGAATTAGGCGGTGAGAAAGAGAGATGAATTGTGTAGGGATCGTTAAACCAGTGTAGGGTTTTATATTCTAAAAATATAATTTGCCAACTAATATACATTTTCCTAAACACTAGCAACTGTCTATGCAAAAGAAAAATGCTAATCAGGGCTGCAAAACAAAGTCGCTAAAGAAAGAATGAATTTATTAGTAAAAGCTTCCTGGTAATGGGGCTCTTCCCCTCTGTCAAAACGAACCCTTAAAGGTGTTTGACTTTTTTATCTTTGTCTGGGCTAGTAGTAAAGCACAGGTTTGTAACAGTATGTTGGCTTGCATGAGCTTGAAGTTTGTAAGTGCTTATAACCGGGATGTGGTGAAGGGTTCAGTTTTAAAAATGGAACTTCTTTATATGGAAAAGTTTAATGGAGAAGCCCCTGGGAGCAGAGAGCCCAAGTCTTTCTTCTTAGCTGTTTACAGAGGCTCTGGGAGGAAGAACTTGCTGTTCCATTACATGTCAGAATAATGTGCATCCGTTTAAATGATCTGTGAAGAAATATGGACCTTTCAATCTCAATTGGAATCAAATGTCTTTGGACTTTTTGAAATTGTCTGGAAGCTGGATGCTGGCTTTTCAGAACACATTGCTTTAAACAATGCAACCAGAAAGCAAACAAAAGGAGCCATGTTAAGATTAATCTCATTAGAAAGATGGGGGAGGAGGGTTGTGATGGCTTCCGAAACAATGGCTGACCTATTGTGAAATACTGCTGACAAAGTTGCTGAGAGTAGTGCTGCTAGGAATACCCCAGTGTGGCTAGCGGGTGTCTTCAGCTCACAAGTTGGTGGCGTTGCTTGTTTTCATAGTAAACTCCTTCAGTGGGGGGGCCCGTAGGAAGTGCGGTGGAAGCTAGTGATCTGTAGGTGAGACTCAGGACAGATCAGATGGAGTTGGTACGCTGCTTTTCTTTGTCATAGTAGCGTCTGGGTGTTTTTTTTATGTCTTTAGGTTTTCAGTCATGTAGTAACGTTTTTTCTGAGTGAGAGAAGCGTCGTCTGAAGCTTTTACAAGCAGCGCGGCCAACTCTTTATTCTGAGCGTGCGTCCAAGTGGTCCTTACCTAAACATCAGCCCTCTCGTCGTGTGAAAGGTGGCCTTTTTTAGATGTCCTCGGTTCTGTCTGAGAGAAAATGAGGAGCAGCTTGTTTTTTCTGCCCTTTCTTAGCTTAGAATAAATTAGGAGCCTAAGGATAATTTGTAAATGGACTTAACCTCGAAACCTAAGCTAGTGTTATGTTTGGCATCTCTCACTCCCCCCTCCCCGGTAAGTGTGAAATGCTAAATGGTTGTTTGACCCAGGGCATCTTTGTTCACATGTCATCTCCTGGGAGTTTGCCACCAGTTTTGCAGGAGATGATAAGCGGAGTGCAAACGGCCTCTTCCTACCTGGGTAGCAACAGGTCCTAGTTCTGAGCTTTGTTCCCCGAGCAGCGAGCAGCGGAGACAGAAGCGAACTTCAAATACAGATGTCGAGACTCCTGGGGGGCCTGTTAGCCATATCGTATTGCTGTTGCGCGTGGCAGCGTGTTCTCAGTTGTTTTGAGATTCCTGATTAAATGCTACGCAGCCTTCACAAAGGCAGTGTTTTTCCAGAAGGTGGCACGGAAGACTGGAGCTTTCCTCTATGTTTCATGGAATTGTTAACCCCCCATCTCTTTGTCTTCTGTGCAAATAGCTGTAGATACTCAATTGACTTCTCTTGTATTGTGTGCCTTTCTCACACAGTGCAATTAGAGAGAAGTCTTTAAAAGGCTTTTTTTTTTTTTTTTTAATTATACAATTAGCCTAACACTCAAGGGCATCTGTGGTGTGTGAAAGCGCGCTTTATTTCTCATAGGCTAAATTTCAGGTTTGTGTTAAGATGGAGCAATTTTCCTCTTTCTACTTAGAGATAAGAACTTCTGCGCTGAGAGCGTGGTGGATCTCAAGGGTCTGTTGCTTAATCTTCTCCGCTAAACCCTTTGCCACGAGTCTAGAGAGCATTTGCTTTCGGGTGGTGTAGGCTGTCTGTCTGGAGTCATTACGCTGATACAGCTGCTTTAATCATAGTCAGCATTAACCAGAGCACTTCTAATATTGAGTCTCTCCCCTTTAAAATCACGTCTCTCGTTTTTTTCCTGGCCCTTTTATTGCCATTTGTCTGGCAACTCCTCCGTTGCTCAGGCCCGTTGGGTGTACAGTGTGTGTTGCTTCCAACATTTTTGATGTCCCCAGGGTACCCAGTGGCTCTTGACATCCCCCAAGGTTTGTAACTTTTCCAGTGAGCGGTTACTAAGGCTGCATGTTGATCCTAATTGCAGCGTATGTAGTCATACTGTGCTTGCCAATAGCAAAGGAGTTAATAACTTGTTCTTTCTTTTTCAGGTCAACACACAACGAGATGGAGAAGAACAGGTGAGTGTTTGAGATCTGTTAGGATCTGCATTTGAATACATCTGTTCTTTTTCAGCCTGTGCCGGAGTCATCTGGGCCCTCTTCCTGGGGGAGAAGTCGTTGCAAGCGCACGGTCTGTGTCCTGGTTTAGATGTCGTGCTCTGAGCTCGGTTTGGGAATCTGAGTTCGGGGACCTGAGGCAGTGTTGGACTGGGGGAGAGGGGAAGCAAGAGGGAAGGAAAGGGGCAGCTGGATAAGGCAGTCGCAGGAGCGGGCAGGCGATGTGTCACGACACTTAGCGCGAGTGCCGCAACTCGAAGTATTTCCTGTCCCCAACTGCTGGAACAGCTATGTGATAAGCAGATGGGAATGCCGTTTATCTGCTGTATTAGCTCCCAGGCAGGCCCAGGTTTGTGAAACTCTGAGGAACGTGCCCATCTTCGTCCCAACTCTGAACTTCTTAACGAGAAGAGAGTTCATCCCTGCGGGTGATACCCATCTCCTAGTTCACGGAGGGAGTCCTTATCCGTGGGATGGGCGTTAGTAGTCCTGTACTGGCCCACAGGGAGTTCCTCCGATGTCGTGTGGGCATCCCCCAGTGCAAGCCAGCCTTAGCCAGCGGACGGCTGCGAGGAGGCCCTTTGCCTGAACGAGGACGGCAGCGTTTGTCTGAGTTTGCAGAACTTAGCAGGTCCTAAACTGGCTGAGATGATGCGGTTTGTAGCATCCCAAAAGCTGTTCTCTTAACCGAAAGCGCTTTTCTCAAGACAAAGGCTAAAGTTTTAGGTGGGCTCTTACTGAGGGAGCAAAGAGTTGGGAGGCTGAAGCGTTTCCTTAGGTGTTCTGAGCTTTTTCTGATCAGATTGATCAAAGGGCATCTGTTTTGAGGCAGGAGGGAGCAGGACTGGGGGTGGTGATACGTGTACGTTTCAGGGTGCAAAGACGTGTCCTTAACTGTAGGTAGGAGCTCTATAAATAACTTTGTGTGCTGGAGGATGCAATGGCAAGCTGGAAGCTTCCATTAATCGGAAAGCCCAGCGCATGTTAATTGTTCTGTGGTTTTTTAGTGTTCCATTACAAGGTTGAAATTGCGTGTCTCTCCTTCGTGAGCTATTGAAGTCCAGCTGAACTGTTCCTCTTTGGCATATTTTGTGTAGGTACGAGACTGGAGCTGTGAATGCAAGTAACTGTTATTATTTGAGACGGACTGGTGCGGCCTTTGTAGTCTAGCTGAAAGATGGCTTTGTATCCTTTATAAGCTTCTCTTTTTCTCTCTATGGCTTGGATCTGACTCAAACATTGCAGCGTAGCGTTGTCCGTTGCCGGTTAAGTACTCCTGTGAACTTGGTTTGTTTTTTATCTTAAGTGGCAGAAATGCCCAAGTCCCAGATGACACGGGTTAGAAAAGGACAGGGCAATTTATCCCTTGCTTTAAATGACCTGGAAATTAGCATTTGATTACTGAAAAACTAGAGTGTACTTAAAGCTCTACCAAAGGGTGCGTTGCATCCCTCTTGCTGCCGCATTGTTTAGACCGGAGCTGTGTTGAAATCCTGTTTATAATGTTGCACAAGTAAGTACAGTAAATTTCTGTACTTTAAGCCCTTTGAAAGGGGGTGGCAGGAAAAAATAGCTTGTTTCTGTACAGAGATAATGTGCCCCTTCCTATTTCACCCCTAGTTGCAGACACCTTAACCCAGTTCTGCTGCTGTTGAGCTGGTTCTGAATCTTGGCCTCGGTCTGGAGACACAGCTGACATTGGCTGCAAAAGCTTTCTTTCTTTCCCACTGGCATAAGGACCAGTTAAGCTTAATATTTGAGGGAGAATTATGGGTAGATGGTATCTTGCTAAGCACGAACACCAGAACACTCGCTAAGCACGAACACTAGCGTAATGAAATGGTCTGGCTGGCGTGTGATGGACTTGGAAGGTCATTCGTCGCTTAAACAAATCTTTTGAGGTTTTTTTTTCTTTAACCGGCCAGTGAGATTTCTGGGGTTTAACTGTGGCAGCAGTTTTATTTAGTTAAAACATGGCAGAAATCTGCTTTTGTATAAGCCAGCTTATTCTGTAAAACTTTGAAGTGGAAACTGAAATTTTTACTTCAGGGTTTGCCTTGCGTAATCCAGAAAATTGCGCAGTGTCGGCAAAGCCGAACAGGTTACTTCTGCATTTTCTGCCATTATGTGTGTTCGTATGTCCTATCTCCGTTTGAACATCAAAGCGCAACTTCTGCTCGTGGATTTTTGGTTTTACTTTTATTGTGTGAGAACACCCTGCGTTGCAAGGCTGTGCTTTTAACAGAATCGGCTTGGGATTCCAGTTTTGCTGTTTTAACTATTGCGGGCCACAGTCGTGCTAGCTCCTTATCCTCGGATCTTGCAGACGGGTCGCTTCCAACTCTGCAAGGCAGGGTTGGACAGGTCTGCACAGCTCCAATAAGATCTTACCCCTGCTGTTGAAAATAGTCTTTGCAAAGGTTCATCTTCGAACCTGTCGGTGTTTGGGATTTGCCCTTACGGTAAAGACCTTGTGCTTTCTTTGCGTTGTAACTCAGAAGGTACTTTGTGTAGGCAAATCATTGTTTACTTGTAGCGTGCACAAAACAAGATAGGCAGGTAGTTGCAAAATCTCAATTTGCAGCTGCCTGTGTCAATTAGGTATTTCAAAGACGGGTGTTGCAACCGGTGCCAAATAACGTGACCTAAATATTGGGGCTGGAGTGATGAACATGAGAGAACCTTGCCCGTGCTGGGAGTATCATCATTGTCAATGGGTAAAGGGACTTCCTTTTGAGGATCCATAATTTCACTCCTACATGCAACGGTGGTATGAAAGCACGGCCTATATATGAAGGCATACAAAATACGCGTGTCTTACGTAGCGAGCCAGCGACTGAGGGAGCGCTAGCAGACCTCTGCGCTGCGATCGCTGATCAGCGTAGCGCTGATAAGGGCCAGCGTTAGCTCTGTGAGACTTTTGTTTTGAATGGAGCTGCGAGTGCCAAGGAAACTGATCTGAAACTGGCCAATTCCTACTAAAAATAGGCAAAGGAAGCCCTGGAGAGGATGCCGTCCCTTTACAGCTGTGTAATACGTACGTGGACCGTTTCAGCTGCCTGCGGAACAAAGCAGAGACAAAACAGTATACGGGGGGTGAAGCTTTTTTTGTAGGGGGGGGTAGGGAGAAAAATCCTGAACTGCATATGCTTACCCCAAAAGTTGCAACAGGCCTTCAGCAGCTCTTTGCCAGCTGCACGCCGACAATCCCTAAGTTGCTGGTGGGCTTTTTAGTGAGGTATAACGATAGCAACATCTGGCTCCTTTTCCAGAAGTCCTGCTCATCCACAGCTCCAGTGGAAAGGCTACAGGAGCTGTGGGTGTGTGAAGCCTCTGAAAAATCAGGCCCAGGCCACTGGGTAGATCCCAGACGTTTTCTGACGGCCCAGGAACTCTGGAATCGTCGCAGTGCTCGAAGCTGCAAAGCATAGCTACTCCGAAGAATCTGTTTGGTGCTGTTCGCTTTGACTGGGTAAAGAGTATTTTGAACATGGGTCAGTTGAAGTGCTACCTGTGAAATGATGGACGGAGTAGATCAATGGAATTCGTGCGCTCTTAAAAAAGTATTTCTGGTAGATGCCTCCTCCTTTCCAGAAATTTTTCAGCAGGGCTGCTTTTTATGGCTGTAAGCCAAAACGCAAAGTTCCAGCTTACCTTTCTTTCTTCTGGCTGCTGCTTTCTCCCTATATACAGAAGCAGGCCTCTCGGCCTACAGGACCAGTAAGTTTCCAATCGGAGGGATCTGATGTAAAGGCTTTTACGTAGCTAATGAGTTTGGAAACAGAATTCTTTTTAATCTTGAATTCTCAACGGAGGTATATGACGTAAACAAATTCTTGGAACTGTAGCGTTTTGTGAAAACTGTTTGCAAGCGCTGAGCACGGTACGGTCACTGAAGACAATAGCGTCAGGTGCCAGTACGATAAAACCCCTCCTTTCCTGTAGGCTTGTGTTTTGTCGCAGGTAGAACTGACTAGTTAACTTGCGAAGCCGGGCGCTGCTCGGCCTGGGGTCCGTCTTCTGCTACAGAGGGAAAGATTGCGCTGAGCGGAGCGCTAGTAACTCGCAGTGCTGGTAAGCAGAAATTCCGAGGGAAGAGAGACGCGTCCCGGAAACGCTGTTTGAAAGTTGATGAACACCTGCCTTGGCTACTGTGTGCTTGGGTGGGGTTGGGAAGGAACTTCTTTTTTCCTCGACAGATCTGTAAATGTGTTATGTTAGTTGAAGTGCCCTAGGCTTTGCTTGATGCGCGTTTATCTGAGGTACCCGGAGTTGACGCCCGTGGTGTCTCAGGAGCGGGTTCGTGAGTAAATCGCGTGCCTTGGGGCAGCAATGTCCACTGGGAAGGAGGAGACGGTACAGAGGCAGATAGTACGTACATCTGACTTAACTGGCTGTTGCGTACTTGCCAGAATCCTTAGTCTTTTGAGGCTGTGTTGATAGAGGGGTTTGGAAGAAGTTCTTCTGTTTCTGGGTGGCATGGCTTTAAAGATCTGATCTTGGAGCGGCGTGATAACCCAGCGGGGGGGGGAAAGCATCTGGTGTTATGCCAAGACACGTTGCCCGTCTATCAGAGGAAAATGCCGAGGAATAAGTCCTAACCTAGATGGCCAACTGGAATTGTTACTTATCGTATGGCTTAGATTATAAATACGCTGATTATGTTTGCCATAGCTGCTTGCAGATGCTAAATGTTCAGATAAGCGCTTCACAGACAGTATTTAACGTGTTATGTGAACTCTGCTTTTTCTATAGGCGTGCCCACCTGCGATTGTGTTTGGAGAAGCTCAAAGGGCTGGTACCACTTGGACCTGAATCCAGTAGACATACTACCCTGAGTTTACTAAAAAAAGCTAAATTGCACATAAAGGTGAGTTTGAGTTCGTTTCCTTGTGGGAAATGTCACTGAGGAGATGTGCTTTGGGAACCTTTGAGATAGGCAACAAATCGTGCAAATAAAATTCTGCTTTGCTGAGGAAAGCTGTTAAACTGCCCCGCCGGAGGGTTATGATAGAACCCAAAGGGCTCAAGGCTCAAGAAGATGGAGTCCCTGCGCTCTTAGACCAGAACATCCCCAAACCTTCAGTTTGGTGCCCACTGTAGCTGTCGGCGTGCGGCTTTGTTCCCGTTAGATTTGTTTCACGAGCAGCGTTGCTGTAGGGATTTCGGTGCGTCTTGATCCTCAGAAAGGAAAAAGTTAACAGCTGGGTCAAGACATTGTTATGAAAGTACTGACTTAAGCTAATGTTGTCAAAGGTCGGTATTGTCCTTCTCGCAGTTAACGTTAGCGGTAGATGTAGCAAGCTTGTGCCACAACCAAGGCTTCTCCTTATAGGCAGGCTTGTAGGTGCCTGCCACCGTTCTTTAAAGCCTACTTTTGGCCTTTTGTTTTATGTATACTGCCACATTGCCCGGAGGCCTTAGGAATGGGACATGTTCAAAGTATTGGCTGATCAGAAATGAAATAGTTTGGGGAGGTTTTCTTTTTTTTTTTCCCCCCCCCGCGTTCTTTTTTTCCTGCGGAGGAGTATTTACTACTTTACTGTTTTTCCCTTCTCGTGACTTTCTTCAGGAAGAGAAGTTAACATTAACTTTGAAAAGGCAAGACTCTCCCTACTGAGTATATTTAGAGTTTTATGAACTGAACGATAAAAGGGGTGGTGTTGAGGGAGAGCTCTGGCTTCAGGCTGCTTACAAATAGCTAGCTATCAAAGACTCAGAATATATATAAATAGGATTGGGCCAGTTCCAGTCTAGCTGCGTGTAAGCTACTTGGAAGGGGAAGCATCGTCAGTGTGTCTTCTCCAGCGGTCTTAGGATAATTCTGATTCGACAGCAATTTAGTCTTTAACGGGTCTCTGAGCCGGTTCCTGTACTGGATCGCTGGGGCAGACGCTGCACCCCAATTTGCTTTCCTTCGAGTTGCACGAGGATGGCACTTGTGTATGTGCGTGAGCAGCTTTTGCTTTTTCTGGCGTGGGGGGGACTGCCTTTTAAACTTCTCTTGCACTGGGAGTTCGCGTACGGGCAAGGCAAGCAGGCGGTGTGTAAGGCGTTTGGGATAGGATGTTTGTTCCAATAGGGTTTTTGCTGTCTGTCTCGCAAACACGCGAGCAGAAAACAGCGCGTTAAGTAGGGGACACCCACGTTTGAAAGAGAAGCGAAGCCTAGAGAGATTTTGCCAGTAAACCGTGCTCATTCAAGTCTAGGTCTTGGATCCTCTAGGAAAAAAACACAGGATATCTGCTGGCAGCCACCTTGGTGGCTGAAGTGGGAAGTGAATTGAAACTGTTACAGTGCCCAGAGCACAGATCTGAGCTGGGGCAAATGGTAGTTACTGCGCACGCCAGCAAAAACTGTGGATTTCTAGGAAGTCTGAAAGGCTTGAGTTTCTTCTTCCTACGAGAAGTTCATTACTCAGCTTGAAAAGCTGTCTGCGCAAATCTCTCCGATTGCCTGGCGCGCTTCAGTCGTTTTTGTGATTTCCCTCCTGCCCCTGCGCTGGCTCGTAGCAACTCTAATTCACCTGCTTAACGTACTGAGTCTCGGCCCGGATGCCCTTCATTAGTTAACAGAAGCCATATTTAGGTAACATGAAAGAAACCGATTTCCGGTTGTGCTGGGCACGCACCGCTGGAGGCTAGACTCTGTGTTTAGAAGGCTGAGCTGGAAAAACGTGGGCCTTAGCCTGCGGTATCCAGAGGGGCTAACGGTGGCTTATTTCTCAACCTGCAGAAGCTTGAAGAATACGACAGAAAAGCATTACACCAAATAGACCAGCTGCTGCAGGAACAGAGGCATCTGAAAAAGCAGCTGGAGAAACTGGGCATGGAAAGAATAAGAATGGACAGTATAGGATCTACTCTTTCTTCAGAGCACTCGGACTCCGACAGAGGTGAGGCCCTTCGGCTGGTGAGGACTGCGCGCTTGTCGCCAGATAGCGTTTTGAGGTCTCGCTGGCAATACTGTAACGCTAATCTTTCTGCTTGCAGAAGAGATTGATGTGGACGTTGAAAGCACAGACTACCTACCTGCAGACCTAGACTGGAGCAGCAGCAGCCTGAGCGATTCGGATGAAAGAGGAAGTCTGCAGAGCGTCTGCAGCGACGAAGGCTATTCCAGCTCGGGCGTTAAGAGATTGAAGTCGCAGAACAATCACAAGCCTTGTCTCGGTCTATAAGAAGCGACTCCTGTAGCTGTTCGATCCATTGCTGTTTCCCTGTTGGATCTCGTTAGGTAGTATATTGGACCGTCCCACGATTCTCTTGCACGTAAATCTAATGTACCACCAACATTATTGAAGTCAGCTTTGCCTAAGTCCCAAAACAGTGCATAGGGTTGTGGGTTACAAGCTACTCTCTGGAGCACACATCTGATTGCATCCACTAGCTTCTCTTCCTGTCAGTAAACTCATCTCTGAGAGACCGTACATTCCAACCAAATTTCGACGCGCCCGAGAATATTTGAGCAGTAACAGCGACCTAAAAAAGCCTCTGCTTTTTTTTTTTTTTTTTTTTTTTTGGCTTGCTGTTAGTGCCTGGTATTCTAGATCTACTTTATATTTGCCTAGCAACAGGACATATCCGCTAATCAGAAATAGAGCCCGAAGGTAACTTGTTTGGGCGATGCTCTGAAGGGAGAACCAACCTAATGTTTAGTTCAGATCTGGAAATGGGTGGAGGAAGTCCGAGAACGGCGCGCGGAGCGTTTCGGCCGTGTCACGTCTTTGACGTGCCTGATGATTGCACTGTGAAACGCTGGAGCGTTAGTTTGAGGGCTTATCTCTAAGCATTCAGGGTAGTAGCGTAACCGTATAACCTTTGGCCCAGTCCTGCCGTCTTACGGCGGCTCCTCCTGATTTTTGAAGGCCGCGGCGGGAGGAATCCCGCGAAGGGCGCTCTTGCGTTAGCAGCCCCGAGAAACGGTGGGAGTTCTGACGACGGCAGGGCTGCGGGGACCGATCTGGGCAGCTTTTGAGCACCCTCTGCAAGCCGAAAGGCACTTCTCCCTGCAAAACCGGGCCGTAGGACCTTGGCAAGGGAGCTCTTGCTCCCCCTCTCGCAGAGCCTTTGAGAGGACGTCTCCAGTTTTTACACATCTCAAAAGTTTCCTTGATACCTAAAACCAAATGGTACTCTACTTCTCCTGTGCAATTTATGACCTCGTGCGTTACAGCTGCATCTTACTGTTCTAGGCGAGTTTTCCTAGAAGCTTGTTCACGCGTCTTGTCTCTGGGACAATTTTTTTCTACCTCAGAGAGATGAACAAAGATGATCTCGATCCCTTTAGCACAAAAATAATTATGCCTCATTTGTTTTATAGGAGCGACGCTTGGTCCCGTTCAAATCTGTTACGTGAAAGTTAGCAATAACTGAATGATGAGGGTGGCTGCGCTACCTTTGGCTGTCAGTGATTGAAAAGGGCACATTTTACCGAATGTTGCTTAGTAGTTAGTTACTACAGTTATTCAGTAGAGTGTTAGTGGCATTTAAGCACTTCTTCAGCTGGTTGAGTTATTTTTTAGGCACTCTGAAATTGGTTCACTAAGGATTTTGGTTTTGCCACCTTTGAGAGAGGGAAGAAAGAAAAAAAAAAGACAAAACACGAACCACCCTTCCCCTCCCCCCAAAGCTGTGGTTTCGAACCTTGCAACACTTTCCTTTAAGCTAACTAGAGCACACGTAAATGTACATAAAACACATGATCTATAAATAGTATTTATTCATTTTATATGAAACTAATGTAATGGAGATACATTCTTATGACTTTGTGCTTTTATAGATGTTCTGGAAACTTTGTACGTAGCGGTCTGCTAACTGAGATATATAGATTTCTTCGGTCCTTTTTGCTTGAAACATTTTAAGGTCTTTATATTCAGCCCACTTGGCAAACCTTTCGCAGCGAATATTAAACACTTGATTCCAGTAATACGACCACCTCGCTCAAGGTGACCAGAGAGGCCCTACCGTTCAGCTGAAAGCAATTCACTAGTAAAGGGCTACGTAGCTTATGTAGTGATAGGCAACAAAAATGGGCTTTCATCCTTGCCTGCAGTCTTTAAAAATTAATTTTAAGAAATGCAATTTCTAGGACTTCACTAGTCAAGCTGCCAAAAGCCACTAAGACACTCTGTAAAGTGCAAATGAATGAACTATATACAACTTGGTTTGTGGGTTTTTTTTTTTCTTTTAAGTATCCTTAAGCTATTTTTGGATCATTTGAACTCTTAGAAAAGCAAGTGGATGGGAGACGGGGCTAGTGGATTGCTAAAATCTCCAAAGTATATTCTCTTTTTGTGTGTGCTATGTTTTAAAAGAAAAAAAAAAAGGTTTTTTTTTTCAAACCGCTGGAATTTTCCAATGTCCAGCAGAATTGCACTGAAGTACAACTCATATGCCTTTTGCATTTGTACGCCTGCTTCCCGAGTCCAAGCAGCGAATCTTCAGAGAGCTAGCTCAAACCCTGTAAAGTTAATGAAAACAGAAAAAAGAAAGAAAAAAGAAAAAAAAAAAAACATTGGATATCTGCACTTTGAGGTCCTTTGCTCCAATACATTTTTGCCTGAGAGACCTCGCTAGCTGTTTTGTTCCGAGGGTTGCGTCAACTCCCTCGCGACGCCAAACCTAGAGTTGCAGATAGCGCTACCTTTTTCAAGGTGAAAGTAACTTTAGACTTTTGGAAAGCATCAGAGGGCTAAATTAGAGACACAAACTGGTGTACTTTGTTTTTTATTTAGACGTACCAAGTCTTAAGGTTTCGACTCTGTGTTTTTTGGGTTTTTTTTTTTTTTTAAATTGTTGTGCCTTTTTGAGTTAACTGCATTCTTTTTTTGGTGAAATACTGTGTGGTTTTTTTTTTGGTCCCGATATAAACCCGTAATTATTTGACCTTTGCACTGTTTGGATGTGATCCTCTCAATCTCGATGGCAGAGAAAAATGTCAAACTTTGGAAAACGATGCACTAATGTCAGACTGACACAAGGGTAAATATGGTGGGTTTTTTTCCCCAAAACTCTAGGCAAGGGAAGTACCTCTGGCTGCTCGGGGCTCTGAGGCCGTGGCTGTGTTGCCTGTGACTGTCTTTGGCAGCTGCAGCTCTCTCTAGGTCCCCCCTTATCAGTCAGCGAGCCCGGCCCTGGGCGGCCGAGTCTACTTCTAGGGTTGCAGAAATGGTAGCGCTCTTCTCTGTTTTGCCAGCCTTTTTCTCGAATTCACTGATCCACCAGCATTATTAAGAAATAAGCTGCAGAAATTAAATTTTTGTAGATTGTTATAAAGGGGGAGTGAGGAGCAACTCGCACACCCCAAGTTTACGACTGATAGTTGCACAGATGTGTGTGAGTATAAAACACGCCTTTCTTTTTGTTTGTTTGTTTTCCCCCTTTCCTCCTTTATTTTTTTTTTCCCCCTTGTGGAGGGCAGATCATAAAATGCTGTCCTGGGTCACGGTGCGAATGGTGAAACCAGGCACGTGCTCGTTCGGAGGAGAAAGCGGACGCTCTCGCGCGTCATCAGAGCAGAGACGTTAAACTTGCAGTAACTTGCGTGCGGAGGATGGTCCGTCTTAAACGCCCGAAAGTATCGCTCGCTCCTAGCGAGCTTTTGGCTGCGTGTCGAGCGGCCGGCGTCCAACTTCTGCGCCGAGCCGAGCTTTCAACTCTTCCAGGTGCCGGTAGTCGCGCGGTGGGGGTCTCCCGCTCCCCCCCAGGT